GTCCATTGTCTGTGGATCAAATTACTTCTGGTTGCTGTGGTTGGTTGTATGTTCAGGTTGTGATGGTGATGTGGGCTGGGCCTGGCTGGTAGGAAGTGCGGGGAAATGCCAGCTCATTAAATAGTAGAAGATGCTTAATGTTGACTACAACACCTCTCGTTTCTCTTCACCAGCATTCTGGACTTTGGGGAAGAAGTGTTTGATAGTTCTCTACTCCCTAAGCTGGTGGTTGGATACTGGTGGGGTCAGGGGCTGCAGGATTGGTCAGTCAGCCTGTTAATCTTGGGCTTTGGGTATGCTTCATTTGTGTCCTTTCCTGCCCTTGAAGGATCGCAGATTTCCAGGATGTCCTGAAGGAGCCCTCAATTGTGTTGGAAAAGCTTCGGGAACTCAGTTTTAGTGGTAAGAGGCAATGCTATTTTCAGGGTTTCCCTGGAGTAATGTTATAGCCAAGATGGAGGAGAAGAGGTTAAGACAACACCTAGGGACCATCTTGACATCAAGGGCCTTCTCCAGATGGCATAGAGCTGTCCTGATACCTTAGCCAGGGAGGTACCTGGTTCCCCACATTCCCTGAGGAGGTGTGAAGATTGAGATTGGGGAGATTTGAGCCTAGATGAGGCCTTGTCTCTTCTTAGTTAGCTTCCTGTATTTTGGAAATCTTAAGAGCTGCAGGGTAGTTCCTGGTTTCTCTTCCTAGCTGGCGATCAAAGCTGAGAGTGACCTTTGGTTCATGGTAAAACCCCAGCCTTAGAACACCAACTTGAAGGAGCTGAATCAAGTTTGACTTTGCCCTCCCTAACATGGTAAATCTTCCAGCTCAGAAATAACCTGTTTTGATTTTTGCCCTTTTTTTTTTTTTTTTAATCTATGTGTATGAGTGTATTACCTGCATGTATGTGAGTGCACCCATGTTGTGCAATGCTACGGAGGTCAGAAGAGGGCTTCAGATTCCCCTGGAACTGGAGTTAAGGACGGTTTGCAGCCACCATATGGGTGCTGGGAATCTAACCCAGGTCCTCTGCAAGAGCAGTCGGTGCTCTTAACCGCTGAGCCATCTCTCCAGCTCCTGTCCTGTCTTTAAAAACACCCTAAGGTCCACCACTTGGGAGGCAGAGGCAGGCAGATCTCTGTGAGTTCAAGGCCAGCCTGGTCTACATAGCGAGTTCCAGGTCAGCTGGGGCTACAGGGAGACCCTGTCTCAGAAAGACAAAAAAAGAAGAAGAAACCACGCTAAGGTGTTTGTGCAACTCCTGGTTACACTACCCTGCCCCTACAATTTTGCCACGAAGGATTTAAGTTGCTCCCTTCAAGCAGATTCTGATGTGGGGGCTCATGGTCACGGTACCAGGAAAATTTCGGCAGTGGGTGTTACCCGGAGGCTCCTAGCAGCCTTGCAGAAGGCAGTCTGGAGTGCTGCTGAGGCCCCAGAGGGGAGGCAGTCTGTGGTGGTGGTGCAGGGCTTTGGCTATAAGTCATACCTGTGTTCTTGGCCTTGGTTGTTGTGTCTGCAGATAAGTTTCTTTATCCGCAAATGAAGACAACAAAGCTGATCTTCCTGCTTACTGGAGCTAACATGGGGATTAAGTGAAATAATGGCTGTCTGGCACAGTGTACTTAGCCTTAGAGTTTGGTTTAATTCCACAAATGTGAAATGCCATTTCTGTGCTGTGTTCTGTGCTAGGCACGGGGATATTGATAGACAAGTGTGATTCTTTTTTTTTTTTTTTTTTTTTTT